CTGATGTATTGACTATGTTATACAATGCTTATATATATATATATTTGCAAGATCACACTGGTCTCATCAGACCCTGTCATATGGGAGCTCTTGGTGTTCGTTAGACCACATACGTGGGCACAGAAAATGCCGATGACCGCAGAACTGTTGGAATCAAGTGCCAAAGCACATGGTCTCTTCTGTGGATGAAGTGGGAGAAAAGATATTTCTGTGATGAGTGAAGCCAGAGTACTTGTGTTTTAATTAATAAAGTGTTTGGATTGGGAATGCCATCAGACACAATATACATTTATCTAATTGATGTTCGTGCACCCGTCCCTATTCAGACTTCCCATTTCCCCCCACTTCCTGGTCAGAGTCCACATACAAGGAGAGGGGCTGCTGCCGGGCCGGCCGTGGGGGCACCAGATGGCAAGGCGGCTTTCCCTGGATAGAAAAACAGTCCAAGGCACCCAGGTGTGGGCACTCTTCCCAGCGAGGAGACAGGGCTGGACATGGACGGGAGGCTGGAGCAGCACCTCAGCCTCCTCTTCTGTGTTCTTTGTCACCTACCATCCTCCGGGCTGTCCCATGCCATCCTCTTCGATCCCACTGCCTGAATGCCATGTTTTGTATATTTTAAACATCTCTGGGTTTTGGGGCACCTGGCTGGCTCAGTCGGAAGAGTATTGACATGATCTCGGGGTCATGAGTTTGAGCCCCACGTTGAGTGTAGAGATTACTTAAGTAAATAAATAAAAATAAGAACCTTAAACATCTCTGAATTTTTAGGTATGTTTAAAATATGTCTCTATAAGCGTCTCCGTGTCTTATTGTTATATTATTTGTAGGGCTTTGCTGGAAATCTCTATTAACTCATTTGGTTCATCCACTGTCTTCCTTACTGTTCTTATGCCACTTTTGACTTTTATTATATAGTATTTCTTTTCATACCATGTATTCTGTGATACTTTACCCTGCCACCTCTTCTCCTTTGATCTCGCTCTCTCATGCTGCTGACATCTTTGATCATGCACAGCTCTTGTCTGCTAAGGTGTTTTTTGTTTTTTTTTTTTTCCTACCTCTAAGTAACCTTCATCGTTTGTGCAGGGAAGGACTGAATTCCAGTACAGAAGAGTAAAGCAGACCCTCCTACGACGCTTTATTCTTTACTGAAAAGCCACAGCAAAGCAACTGGTACATCAAATACCACCTCAACCTTTTGCTTTTAACTGTCTCTTATGTGTGTCACAAAAGCCTTTCACAAAGTACATTTATATATAGGAGATTACAGAACTTTTATAATTTGCTGTGTTTGAAATAATACCATAATGCTTGAATATAGAGGAGCACTTTGACATTTGCAAGCACTTGAAATATATGATTTCCAGAACTTTGCTGTGTGGGTGTTTTGTTTTGTTTTGTTTTGTTTTTACAACACTGTGACAGAATAGGCCCACAGGCTTTAAAAAGGACTGGATCCTTAATGTGGTAGGGGGTGGCTAATTTAAAAAAGTAGGTTAAAGCAAGTGTGTTTGTTATCTACTGCTGCATAACAAATTATCCCAAAATTTAGCAGCTTGAAACAACAAACATTATTTCACACAGTTGCTGAGGGTTAGGAATCCCGGAATGGCTGTTGCTGGTGGTTGTGGCTCAGGGTCTCTCCAGAGATTGCAGCCATTTGAAGGTCTGACCAGGACTGGAAGATCTGCTGTCAAGATTTCCTCACTCACATGGCTGTTGTTGGGGCGTTAGGTCCTTGCCATATGGGCCTCATAACAGAGCTCCCTGAGTCTCTTTAAAACTACTGCTGGCATCTCCCAAATTGAGTAATCCAAGAGGTATCAAGGCAAAAGACCCAGTATCTTTTATAACCTAGACTTGGAAATGACATACCATCATACCATGCTAACATATCGTGTTATAGTGATCATACAGACCACGTTTTTGACACAATGTGGGAGGTGAATATTAAAAGGTGGGATCATTTGGGGTCATCTTAGTGGCTGGACACCACCATAAGGAATGATAATACACTATATCTAGTTAAGGTGGAGCTTTTTCTTTGAGCAGTCTTGATGTAGGGTCAAGGCCTTTACTTGGAATATGGATGCATTCAGTGTTCTGAGGTATCTTTGTTGTATAAACTGCACCACTAAATCATCATCTGGGATTTCCAGTTTCCCTTACTTTTGAAGGAGAAAAAATTTACATGAAAAGCGATGTATACTGAATCCCCCTAGTTTTTATAATTTTGTACCCAATTTTATATATTTGTCTTTCCCACATCTAGCTTAATGGTAATTTTTATCATCTATTTATCTTTATCAAGTGTCTTTAAAGCTTTCATCCTAGCTTTTATAAAACCATAACTCATTTTGCCTTTATATTTCTTCCTTTTGTAATGTTGATGTCATTTCGATAGCATGCAACTGATACAGTCAAGTGGGAGAACAAGCCCAAGTGACTCAGGTATATGAGGTATATGAGGAATGCTCATGCAAATTGGCAAATCTTTGATTTCCAATAGTCTTAAACTTAGCTTGTCCAAACTAAGCTCCTGACTATACCTGTCTAACCTCCTCCTACCAGTCTTTCTCATCCCAGCAAATGACAACTCCATTCTTCTAGGTCAAAAACTTGGTCCTCGGGCGCCTGGGTGGCTCAGATGGTTAAGCGTCTGCCTTCGGCTCAGGTCATGATCCCAGGGTCCTGGGATCGAGTCCCGCATCGGGCTCCCGGCTCCTTGGGAGCCTGCTTCTCCCTCTGCTTCTCTCTCTCTCTCTCCTCTGTCTCTCATGAATAAATAAATAAAAAATCTTAAAAAAAAAAAAAAAAAAACTTGGTCCTCACACCACATGTTGAATACGTTGCCAAAATCTACCAGTTCTACTTCTTAAAATGTACCAAGAAAAAAAAAGTGCCAAGCACGTCTCACTGTCTTCACAGGCATCACTGTGGTCCAAACTCCCATCACCTGCCAGCCCGGCTATTTTGGAAGCCTCCCAGCTGGTCTCCCTGCTTCATTTAGTGTATTTGCAGCACATCAGCCAGAGTGAACGTGTTAAAGATATGTCCGATCATGTCACTACTTCGTTCAAAACACCATGGCCACCCACGTTAAAGGCCAAAGTCCTTACAACGTTGGGCAAAAGGGTTCACCAGCCATGTCCTACCCCACTCCGCTTCCTCTTTCCCCCTTTGCCTGCCCAGCTTCACCGCACAAGCCTCCTTGCTCTTCCTAGAACATGTCAGGATCCTCCTCGGGCTTTTTATAATCTTTCCCTGGACCTCTTTCCCTGGACCTCTTACATATCACTAAGTACATAGTTTATTTGCTCATTGTCTGCCCCCTTCCACAAAATGTCTCTTCCATGATGGCAGCGCTTTTTATTTGCTTTGTTACTGCTTTATCAGTATCTAGAACTGTGTATTTGTTGAATGAATGAATGAATAATGAATTGGCGAAAGAAGAAACAGGCCTTGCATGCTGTGGGTAGCTATCAGAGTTTTGTAGGAAAAAATGGAGCACTCTGTTTAATCTGGTGAATCCACTGAGTGGATATGTGTTAAGAGAGCTTCTACTCATTACTTTAAGTCATGAAAATAAATGTATCCTTAGAAGTTGAAAAGTGTAGGGAGAAAAGGGGTGGAATGAGAGTTTATAATAGGGGACACTGACAGATTGGGAGTGAAAAAAAGGTTTCTCTGAGAAAGCATCATTTAAGTGGACAACAAAAGCTTATACTGAAGTTAGGTAGGTGGGGAGTGGGGGAAAGAGGATTTCATGCAGAGAACAGCTTGTGCAAAGGCCCTGAAGCTGGAAAGTTCCATGAACTAAAGAAGGTCAGGATGATGGTATTGAAGGGAGCAAGGGGGCGGGGTGAGCTGGGTCATCCAGGCCACCTGTCTATATTAGAGTAAGTTTAAACAGCTGTTTTAATTACCAATCTGGAACTTTTCTCTAATTGAAGAATGAATAGCTTACACCTTTTAAAAGAATTTCTATCCTGAGTAAATAATGTATGGGGATGGAGTGGAGAAGAAAAGTTACAGCTGAGAGTTAGAAAGCCTTCTCAATACCCCTGAAAATATAGCCTGAGCACCACATTCTGCCCAGAGCTCCAAGTTGGAAGTGGTTGTCCATGGTGTATCTCTGTGGATGCTAGCTCAATTTAAATTTTTTCTTTTCTTTCATCTATCTTTTATTATTTATTTTCTGCATGCAGCGAAGAACTGAAGCTCTCCCCCACCAGAAAAAGTCCCCCTCTGGATGAGCATTTCGGGTTTTAATATGGGTTGTCTGATGGGTTTAATTGACAGGCTTGTGGTCCAGGTTGAAAAGGCCCTTGGGTGCTAATATTCGCAGGTGCCTTTATGTAGGTTTAGAAGGACCAGAGATGACTTGCCCTCAACTAAGGAAAGGTGGAAGATTATATAAGTATTATTTGCTTTTAGGTTTTTTGTTTTTTTTTAACCTCCTCCCCTCCCTTCCCCTTCTTCCACTTTTCTCTATCACCACCCTCCTTGGAGTTAAAGAGGAGAGCCAAGAAAAGGACAGCCACAGGCAAAGTGGTCCCCGGACTGCTGCCCTATGGTCTCAGCAATAAAAGAAAAATTGGCCCAAGGTCATGCTTTGGGTGAAGACAAGGTAGTGGCTCGGCGTCTTGGTTAGAAACCAGGACTGGAAGAGTCGCCCAGAGAAGTGGGCCCCAGGGCAAACCGGCTGTGGGTGGGGGGGAGCCAGCTCCAGCCTGACTACGAATCCCATTCCAACAGCACTCCCTTCCCACTGGGGAGGCGGCCTTCGGTCCCCGGCCCCTGCCGGGAGGTGGAGGCTGACCCCATGTGAAAGGCTCAGCGATCCAGAGTCGGGCGACACGCAGGTTCTGGCGGAAAGTTGGCAGCCACCGCCCTCTCTCCCGGCTCCCTCCCCGACACCCCCCGCCCCCCGCGCCTCTCCGGGCGCTACGGCGGGGGTGGGGGTGGGGGGAACTGGCCTAGTGTTCTGGAACAGCTGCAGCCGGCACTGGGCCCGCCTGGAATGCGGGGACAAGCTGCGCACCAGGACTTTTATGGAAACTTGCTGGTGGAGACGGCGGCGGCGGCGGCGGCGGCCAAAGGGCTCCCAGCGGCCGGAGTGGCAGCGGCAGCGGCCGGAGCGCCCAGACCCCCGCCCACACCCAGGCGCAGGACGCGCACAGCCTCTCCGCGCGCAACGAGGACACTCGCTTGTCGCCGGCTCCTGGCGGGTGAGAGGAGTCGGGGAACGTGGGGCGGGGGCGGCGGGGGCCCGGAGGTGTCGGGTCCCCCCCACCCCCCTGCGGGGGCGGGGGCCGCAGGGAGAAGCGTCCCGCTCCCAGCTCCTGGCAGGGCTGCGGCCGCAGTACCCGAGCGCGCGGGGCTGCTGCCAGCTGTGGCGGCGCGGGCGGCCCGGCCCCAGCGAGGGGCGTCCTGCGGGCTCGGCGGGGTGGCGGCCCGGGTCTGCGCGTCGCCCTGCGCTCCTGCTTTCAGCCCCGCTCGTGCCAGTCGGCCGAGTTGCGTTCGGGTGCTATCTCCACTCCTGCAGGGAAGAGCCCTCCGCGAGCGAGCGGAGTGGGTGCAGTCCCTTCGCTCTACCCTTGGGGTCCAAGCAGGTATAAAGTTCGGTGTCGTTCCCCACCACGTGCCCCCAGCGCGGTCTCCGTCTCCGCCCGCGATGTCTGCTGTTGTTTTTTTTTAAGATTTTATTTATCTGACAGAGACACAGCGAGAGAGGGAACACAAGCAGGGGAAGTGGGAGAGGGAGAAGCAGGCCTCCCGCAGAGCAGGGAGCCCGATGTGCGGCTCGATCCCAGGACTCTGGGATCATGACCTGAGCTGAAGGCAGGCGGTTAAGGACTGAGCCATCGAGGCGCCCTGATGCCTGCTGTTTTTTAAGAGAAACCAGTCCCGGTCTGTCCCTGCGGAGGCTGAGGAGTAAAATGGGATTTAACAGCCTATCATCTATCCCCCTCCCTTCAAAGTATGTTTTGGGGCGATTTTGTCTGAGGTGGGATGTTGGGATGGCGCAGCTACAGTTGGAAGTTGGAGTGCAAAACGTGGTCACCTCTTGAGACGTCCCTTGTCCCTATGCTTTTTGAAAATGCGAAGCCATTCCAACTGTAAACTGTGAAATGCTCCACAATGCTAAAAATGTATTGGCATTTGAAAGAAAATAACCGAGTTGAGAGGTTAGTTGATTATCGCAGTGGCTTTGAGGTCTTCATTTTGTATTTATTTAAGGTCCATAACGCGAACAAAGAATTGGGGGGAGGGTGCGGTGGAGAGAGAGCGAGAACAAGGTAAAAATAGCATAAAGAGATGTCCTAACAAAATGTCTGTCCTAGGGAAAGAGGCAGGTAGAAAAGTGTAAGTAAGCCTTAAGAAAGAAATAGTTCATTTGCAAAGCAATGGGAGCATCATTCATCAGCTAAATTTTCTTAATGAATTCATGTAACGGGCCCATTGGCCTGCGAGTCACAACATAACTATGTGTTTGGTAGTACCATTAAGTAAACCTGAGTATTTATACCATCTTAGTCACACGTCATTAAGCGAACCTCATTATCCGCCCCCCCACCCAGACCTTGTACAGCTTAAAGAACTGCCATAAGAAAACTCAAAATACACGTAAGTCTCTGAAATTCTTTTGAGTTTGAGGTGTGCGAAAAATGAGGTGGAAAAGTGCATGATTGAGCGACAGTTTTCTGGGGAGATGTGTTTGATATAAATGAAATTTGATTATTTAATATAATTAGTTAAGATTCATCCTCACAGGTATTAGCCCCCTATTTTTGAAGATCTTTTATATTTTGACTGGCATAATTTAAACAAAAATGTGGGGAATTGTGTATTTTATCTGTAACAACTTCCTTAAGGAGCCCTGAGCAAAAACCACAACAAAATTCTTTTAAATCCAGTTTCCCTCAATACAGGATTGGTGTAATTCAGTTTTAATAGAAGATTCACATTTCTACATCCATTTTAGGCTGAACTGTAGTGAATAGCAATTTTTCTTGCTTTCAATGGAATCTGTGCTATTTTTGAAAATTTGATATGTAAGATTGATCATTGTCAAATGTATGTCATCTTGAGATGGCTATATTTAGCATCAACAAAGGAATGCGTTATCTAGGCTTTTGAACAGTATTTTTCCCCTGAAATTACACTTGAAGTATTTAGGTTAGGGTTTCATTTGTGAACAGAATGAAAACTGAGTATGTATATTTTGAAGAGATTAATTGGGGATTTAGATTGCTTAGAACCCAAGTGACCTAAAATGACATACTTCAATTAGGGAAAAAAAAAACCTATTATTTTTGAAACACCCTGAAGGCAAATAAAGGTATTGTTTAAATAAAAACACATGCCTACAAGAAAGAAACCAATGCAGTAAATGTAGAAAAGGATGTAATAGACGGGCAGATGTCTAAAAGTTTTTATGGAAGAGACGAGTCAGTACATTTTATAGTATATAGGCCATATAGACACAAAAAATATCTTGGTAGTCTACTTTAGAGGGAAAATGATCTACAACATTCTTAATAATTTCACCTATTTCTGTTCTTGTTTAATCAATTTGTGGTTTATATTACCTGTGTAATTTCTTTCATGTTCTCTTCTGGTTTTGTAATTGCAAAATTATATATTCTTTACATACACTTGGAATTGTTATATTTTCTCTTTCTATTTAAATATTCAGTGCATAGTTTGGCTGGACTTAGGGTACTATACTTTCTACACTCTAGGATGAGTGGATTTTTACCCTGAAATCCAACTTACTTCTAGTAAAATTTGTTTTTTGTTCTAAAGTTAATATAACCATATTATATTTATGGTTAAAAATGATCAAGAATGGAAAGGGGGACTTTCAAAACGGGACACATGTACCGTTAGTGTTTTGATATGTTTCCTCCTTTTCCCCGTGCACAGGATTTTTTTCTTGGGTTGCCGGATCTCTGGGAAGCCGTGTGTGCAAGCCCTGGGTGCAGTATCTGCCATCCAGTAAGTGTTCAGTACCCCTTCTTTTTCTCCCCACACCTTTTTTTTTTTTTTTTCATTTTAATTGCACCTCCCTTTTACTGTGAGATTAGAAGGCAGATTGGGGCTCTCTGGGCCACATTTTGAGGTTGGTGAAATTCGACTTCTGCCTTCTTTTCTATGCCTCTTTTTTGTCCTTTCCTCCCCCTTGACTGTGCCTCCTCCTTTCAGGCCAAACTAGGCCTCCCTTTGTCTCTCCATTTTCTCAGTGCCGCCTGTTCCTTTAGATCAGGGGCCACAGATTAGCAGCCAGAAAGCCACCTGCAGCTATGGCCATGCTTACAAATTCGTACATTTTATGATAAGGATTTCTAGTGTCTCCTGAAAAACTGGGTCATTTCTGCATAGCAGCAGTACCCCGGACTGAGCACTTGCTTCCCTCTCAGGGCACACATACCCCTTCTGACACTGTCACCATCATTCCCTGTTACCTTACAACCAGTTGTCACTCGCTCATGTTACCTGTCAGTGACACTACCTTACCTTAACTTCCATTTACTTTGCCTGACCCCAGACACTGGAGTATGCAGCAGTCCCCTGATGTCCGTATGAGGCAAGTCTGAAGCCGTGATAGGATGGAGAGTCTGGACCTGGCATCAGGGACCTGCACTTGAAATGTTGTAGATATATTTGGGTTAGCAATCCTTCTCTTAAATAATGTGATCATGGGAATGAGAAGAGGTTAACATTCATTGATGCTAATTGCTCGTGCCAGTTGGAGCTGGAAGGGACCATGTATACTAACTAAAACATTTTAACTGGTGGGATTTCAGAAAGCATAGGGTAGGTATTTCTGGGAAAGAAATCTTTCCTAGGAACTCTTAAAATACTCCTCATCTCTCTCCACCCTGGAAGTGTTTAGGAGTTTTGTTTTTTTTTTAACCCCTAGAGATTGGCCATAAAGAGGAGCTAACTACTATTCCTCTTCTGCCTCCTCACCCTCCCTTTGTTGGGAGCCAGAGGCCTGGGTCTGCCCATTCCCAGAGAGGGTGAGGAGGCCCAGTCTCCTCCAGAGAGTACCATGTCCATGTGCTTGTGAAACCAGCTTCTGGTTTTTCATGATACCTAGCTTAATGTAAACCCACTCGATTTTATTTTCTATTCATTTTATGCATCTTCATCGTCAGCCCTCTTTTTGGAGCTGTTAATCATAAATTTTACTTGGACTGACTTTGGATCAGACCATTTACCTGTTACCTCTTTGTCATTCATCCACTCGCTCAAATATGAATTGAGTTTGTACTGTGTCCTAGTTGTTGTGTGAGACACCAAGGTTAAAGAACAGAGTAGAGCAGCATTCTTTTAAGGGGCTTATAGTATGGTGAATGCTCTTTGGAAACTATCACATACAGTCTTATGAGTGCAAAGTGTATACATTGTTAATACAGAAGAATATCAAAGCAGGTTGAAAATAAGATTCTTGGTTATCAGTGAGGAATTGTTGGTAGGAGGAAAACAATCTCACTATTTCAAATAGAAAAAATATTTTTGAATTGGGATAAGGTTAATAACTGGTTTTATATTTTTATTTATCTTTTAAAATTAAAAAAAAAACTATCTTCTAAAATCTTATTTACTTGACAGAGAGAGCACAAGCAGCGGGAGAGGGCAGAGGAAGAGGGAGAAGCAGGCTTCCCGCTGAGCAGGGAGCCCAGTGCGGGGCTCGATCCCAGGACCCTGGGACCATGACCTGAGCCGAAGGCAGACGCTTAACCGACTGAGCCACCCAAGCACCCCTTATGATATTTTTAAATTATAAGGTTATAATCTTCATTAACTAAATGTAATAAAGCTACATTGTATTTAAGTGTATTTTTCTGCTAAAGTGAAAAATGATAAAAATTTAGGCTCACATTTTATAAAGCTCAAAACATTTGTTCCAAAGACTGTGAAGAAATAGGTTTTAACATTTACTTGTGGTATATAGTTAAGTGTTCTAAAATCTTAAAGGGGTGCCTGGGTGGCTCCATCAGTTAAGCATCTGCCTTCAGTTCAGATCATGATCCCGAAGTCCTGGGATCGAGTCCCACATCGGGCTCCCTTCTCAGTGGGGAGCCTGCTTCTCCCTCTCCCCCTACTCCTGTTCATGCTCTCTTGTACACCCTCTCTCTCTCAAATAAATAAATAAAATCTTAAAAAATAAAATCATCTTAAAAGTTGAGACAAAGAATTTACTTGAGTTTAATGAAAT